GAGGAGAGGAGAGGAGAGGAGAGGAGAGGAGAGGGGAGGGGAGGGGAGGGGAGGGGAGGGGAGGGGAGGGGAGGGGAGGGGAGGGGAGGGGAGGAGAGGAGAGGAGAGGAGAGGGTAGGGATGGAGAAGGACATGAAGAGGAATGAAGAGAGACGAGAAGGGGAAGAAGGAGAAAGGACAAAGATAAACAGATAGATAGATAATCAGAGAGAGAGAGAGAGAGAGAGAGAGAGAGAGAGAGAGAGAGAGAGAGAGAGAGAGAGAGAGAGAGAGAGAGAGAGAGAGAGAGAGAGAAGAGAGGGTATAGATTGATAAAGAGACAGTAAATTCTTAAGGGAGGCGCCAGAACTACAAACTAGGGAAGAAGAGTGACAGAGAAGGGAAGAGAGAAGAGAAGATAGAAAAGAAAAGGTGACAGAGAAAGCATGAATAGAAGGGAGAATCGAGGAATGGGAATAAAGAGGAGAAAGAGTGTCGTACGGTTGTGAGCAAAGACTGAGGTGAAAATAAAGAAAATATAACAATAAAGAAATAATACAAAGGTACAAGACGCATAAGGAAAGGTGATAATAACAACAAAATGACAAAAAAAACAACAACAACAGAAGATGCATATTGATCGTAACAGTAATAAAAATGATAATAACAGTAATAACAACAACAACAACAATAACAAAAATAACAACAGCAACACAGCGCGTCACAAATATAAAACAAACAACGCAAGAAGGCCTGCAACCCGAGATGAGCAGGTGAGACGATGCTGACCACAAGATGCCTCAATTGATGCTGAGGCTGATGCTGCCGCGCATGGCATAGCAGGGAGACGGAGGGAAATCAGAAGACTTAAGGATAGGGACGATAATGAGGGTGAAGGATGGAAAGAAAAGGGAGTGAGAGAAACGTTGATAATAATGGTGGGGGGGAGGAGGAAATGCGAAGAAGAAAAGGGAGGAGGAAGGGGAGAGAAGAGGAATGGAAGGAAGGGAGGAAAAGGAGAGGGAAGAGGTGGGAGGAAAGGGGAGGGGAAGAGAGTGGGAAGGACGGAAGGAATGAAAGAGAAGGAAAAAGAGAGAGGGAAGGGAGCAAGAGAGAGAGAAAGAGGAGAGAGGATGAAAGAAAGAGAAGGAAAGAGAAAAGGAGGGTAGAAAGAGAGGTAAGGAATGAATGAATGAAGAAAGGAATAACATTGAAAGAAAGGAGGATTAGACAAGAGGAAGATGCAGCGTTGAAGAAGAGAGAAAGGAAAGGGGGAGGAAGGAAGGAGAAGAGAGGAGGAGGGAGGAGGAAGGAAGGAGAAGAGAGGAGGAAGGAGGAGGAGAGGAGGGAGGAGACGAAAAGAGAAAAGAGGGAAGAGAGAAGAGGAAGGGAGAAAAGAAGGAATAAAAGAGAAGGGGAAAGAGAAAAGGAGGAATAAAGGAGAGGAGGAAGGGAGATACGAGAAATAAAAGAGAAGGGGAAGGGAGAAATGAAAGAATAAAGGAGAGGAGGAAGGGAGAGCAGAGGGAATAGGGGAGAGGAGGGAGGAAAGAAATAATAAGGGAGAAGAGGAAGGGCGAGAAGAGGGGCGGCCACGAACCAAAAGGAGAATGATAGAGCACCTTTGGCACGAGACTACGATAAGAGATTCTATTTAATCCTCACTTCTTCCCTCTCCCCCCTCTCTAACCCTCCCTCTCTTCCCCTCTCCCCCTCTCTAACCCTCCCTCTTCCCCCTCTCCCCCTTTCTAACCCTCGCTCTCTTCCTCTCCCCCCCCTCTCTAACTCTCCCTCTCTCTCCTCTCCTCCTTTCTATCCCTCGCTCTCTTCCTCTCTCCCCCTTTCTAACTCTCTCACCCACTCCTCCACACCTCTCTAACATCTTACCCCCTTACCTCCCCCTTCCCCCACCCCTCCCCACCTCTCTAACATCTCCCCCCTAACCTCCCCCACCCCCACCCCTCTCCAACACCCCCCTCCCCCTCACCCACTCCTCCCCACCTCTCTAACATCTTCCCCCCTAACCTCCCCCACCCCCACCCCTCTCCAACACCCCCCCTCATCCACCCCTCTCCACCTCTCTAACATCTCCCCCCCTTACCTCCCCCTTTCCCCCTCCCCTCTCCCCCCCACACAGCCGCCTGCTCACCATCAACAACGCTATCAGATCGCTATCAACTGGACGCGAAGGCCGCGCTACTGCCTCACGCCCGCCGCCCGCCGCTCGGCAACACTCCTCCTCTCCTTTCTCCTCCTCTTCCTTCTCTCCTTTCGTCTCTGTCTTTCCTTTTCTCTTTGCTTGTGTGACTTTCCTTCTCTCCCTTCTCCTCTCCTTCCTTCTGTCTTCCCTTTTCTCTTTGGTTCTTTATGTTTCCTTTCTTCTCTCCTTCGCTTCCCCCATCTTTTTTTCTCTACGTCGCTTCCCTATGTTTTTTTTTTCTCCTTCGTTTCCCTATCTTCCTTTCTCTCTATCGTTCCCTATCTTTCTTTCTTTTACTTTTGTTACCCCGTCTTTCCATCCACTCACTCCCTCTTCCTTTTCCTTTCCTTTCATTCACTTCCCCTTCTCCTCCCTCCTCTGTCCTTCCATTCGCTCCCCTTCCTTCTCTTTCATTCGGGTCTCTCTCTCCTCCCTCCTTTTTTTCTCTCTCCTTCGTTCCATCTCTCCTTCCCTTTTCTTTCTTTTCATTTCCCTTCCCTCGTTCCCTTCAGGCACTTCTCCGCCAATTCTCTTCCTCTTATTCTTCCCCATTTCTCCCTTTCTCTTTGCTTCCCTTCGTCCACTCAACCCTTCCTTTCTTTCGTCCCTTCTTGCTCTCCCCTCTTCCTTCTCTTCCTTTCCTTCCCTTATTTTACTTTCCTTCCGTTTCTTTCCATACTCTTCCTCCCCTCCCCTCCCCTCCCTTCCCCTCCTTTTCCTTCCCTCCCCCTCTTCTCCTCTCCCCTCTGCTTGTTTAGTTTACCTGTGTTATTACCTGTCAGTCTACATCTATATCTTTATTTATCAACTCCATTATCACTCACACTCACACTCTCTTTCTCTCTTTCTCTCTCTCTCCCTCTCTCCCCCATTCTCCCCCATTCTCCCCTCTCTTCCCCATTCTCCCCCCTCTCTCTCTCTCTCTCTCTCTCTCTCTCTCTCTCTCTCTCTCTCTCTCTCTCTCTCTCTCTCTCTCTCTCTCTCTCTCTCTCTCTCCCCCATTCTCCTCTCTCTCTCTCTCTCTCTCTCTCTCTCTCTCTCTCTCTCTCTCTCTCTCTCTCTCTCTCTCTCTCTCTCTCTCTCTCTCTCTCTCTCTCTGTGCGTAAATCATCTAACGCCTTAGAATATGAATAATCGAATGCGTAGAACTGATGTGGACGGGGAGACAACGTGATAACGAATGAGACAAGAAGAATGGAAGATAATAAAAAGATCTAGATACGCACACGGGTAATTAAAAAACACGATAAACAGTTAGAAAGATATAAAGGCAGAGATGCAGAAAAATAGACACAGAGATATAAAAAGACAGACATACAGACAGACAGACAGACAAACAGACATCCGGTTGCAATGAGGAAGATAAGATAAGCGCATAGAGAGAGTGCGTAAATACCCATGTTGAAAAGATTATATTTATGGGTATATGCAAATTAGGTGAAGTAATGGAAGCGGATAAATATGGATTATAGAGCGAGACTGAGAGAAGAAAGTAAGTTTATTAAGTAGAGAAGTTGATATAGATCTCTCGTTCTCTTTCTTTCTTTCTTTCTTTCCCTCTTTCTCTCTCTCTCTTTCTATCTCTCTCTCTTTCTCATTCTTTCTCTTTTTTCTCTCTTTCTCTATTTTTCTCTTTCTTTTTTCTCTCTCTCTCTCTCTCTCTCTCTCTCTCTCTCTCTCTCTCTCTCTCTCTCTCTCTCTCTCTCTCTCTCTCTCTCTAACCTTACTTAATTATCTCTTTATCTTTCTGTTTCTTTCCTCTTTATCGCCCTCTCTCTTTCTCTCTGCTCTCTCTCTTCCTCTCTTATATCCATTTCTCTTTCCCTTCTTTCCTTTGATTTATCTTTTATCCTCTCTCCCTTCCGCTTTCTTTTCTCTGTTCGCATTTCCCTCAAATCTCTCCCTCTTTCTAGAATCTTTTCCCCTAATTTATCGTTCGAGAAAAAAAGAAAAATATATCTTAAAAATAAACAAACCTTGTTAACATTTCCTCCATTTCTGCTAATTAAACTTATTCAGATTCCATCAAACTAAATTAAGTCGTAAAATTTTCCCGCGTCTCATCTTAATACTATCTTCTCGACATGAAGGAATATCAAACAAATATACGAATAAAATTGGTCGAAAAGCGGCTGATTATGCAAATTATATGTAGGTTCGTGACCCCTTCTCTCGCGCTACTAAGGGGATACGACATACAACAAAATTCAATATATAAAGAAAGCAAGTGAAAAGTAAGGTAAATAAATATATAAAGGAATGAAAAAAAAACAAGAATAAAAATAAATATTCACTAATCCGCACAATTACATCATCGCCAAGTGTAGCTAAATATACAAGTCTACACATATTGAAAAATACGCACACATACATACGCACACACACACACACATATATATATTTAGCTTGTCCGGGAACTGTTAGCGAGGCATGTGACTGCATGAGGTATGTCGGTGGCGCCAAAGAGATCATGGGGGTACCTGGTGCTGTCTTACGCCCCCCCCCCTTCCTCCCCCCCCTCTCCCGCGACACACCTACTATGAACTCGTACTGGCATACAGACAAATGTAAATAGGTGAAGTTTGATTTCTCTCTCTTCCTCTTTCTATCTTCCTATCTCTGTGATTTATTTCGCATAAAGTGTTGGTTTCTGGTTTTCTCTCTTCATTAATCCGTAGGTTTCTGTTTCTGGTTAACTTTTTCTTTCATGCCTCTGTCTATCTTTCTCTGTCTCTGTCTGTCTGTCTTTCTCTGTCTCTGTCTGTCTGTCTTTCTCTGTCTCTGTCTGTCTGTCTTTCTCTGTCTCTGTCTGTCTGTCTCT